GTAGCACACAGTATTCACATTAATCACAGAACCACAGAATTACTGAGGCTGGAAAAGACCTCCGAGATCATCAAGTCCAGCTTATGTCCCAACACCACCACATCGGCCAGACCACGGCACTAAGTGCCACATCCAGCCTCTCCTTAAACACCTCCAGGGATGGTGACTCCACCACTACCCTGGGCAGTGCATCCCAGTGCCTGAGCACCCTCTCCGTGAGGAAATGCTTCCTGAGATCCAACCCAAACCTTCCCTGACGCAGTTTCAGGCCGTGCCCTCTCGTCCAATCACTGGTTGCCCAGGAGAAGAGCCCGACCCCCACCTGACTGCACCCTCCCTTCAGGCAGTTGTAGAGAGTGATAAGGTCCCCCCTGAGTCTCCTCACCAGGCTAAACACCCCCAGCTCCCTCAGCCTCTCCCCACAGGACTTTCCCTCCAGTCCCTTCCCCAGCCTCGTTGCTCTCCTCTGGACCCGCTCCAGCACCTCAGGATCCTTCTTGCAGTGAGGGGGCCAGCCCTGCACACAGCACTTGAGGTGAGGTCATATCAAAATAGAAAGGTATCAATTCTGAAAGCAAAAGAAAGTTTGCATTCTGGGTATCTAGGTACAGCTGCAAAGGTACACACAACACAAAACCTTCATTTAATTATTATATTTAGCGCTGGTTTCAGAACAAAAAAGCATATAGCAAATACTGTTTTGTGAGAGTTCATTGACAAAAGTGCCAAAGTAAAGGGATGAAGTGGGGATAAGCATCTTCAGTGTCAACTACTGTTTTTCCAGACTGCTATTATTACTGAAGAATATGCATGTCTATTAATTTCACAGCAGTCTGGACAGGAAATGCCACAGGAAATGTTAGTGTCTTCATAAATTATGCTTGGATTAGAACTCAAGCTAAATTATGTGTAATTAGTATTTACTTTTTCTTGCCTACCTAATAAGTATTTCTCACTATCAGGAAGTGGAAAGAAGTTGAGTGCTAACAAGAAGCACGAAGGTTAATATTCCTTTTTTTCTTGCAGATCATATTATTCTCTGAGGAAATACATAAATACAGCAGTAGCACTTGACAATTAGAAGCAGTATCAGCTACAGTCTGCAGCCATAAATTCCAGCCAGTAGTAATGCTGATCAGTCATGTATTTTGTGGTTATTTAATAATTACATTACTCCTGTACATTGTTTCATCCCAGGTGGAATACGCCTATTTTCCTGAATAGTTTAGTGAAGTCACAGAACACTATGATTTGTGGCTTCATAAGTGAATAGCTGCTGTTTCAAAACAATGTTTTTCAAAAGACAGTGTGTAGAACATTTCACTGGCCTCCCAAACCAGTCAAGGAAAATAACTAAAAGTGTAACTGACACATGTTCTCTCTGCTCCCACGTTAAAGAGCTGGGTCTCTTTAGCTTGGAGAAGAGGAGGCTGAGGGATGACCTCATAAATGTTTATAAATACATCAAGGGTGAGTGTCAGGAGGACGGAGCCAGGCTCTTTTCAGTAATGTCGAATGACAGGACAAGGGGCAACAGGTACCAGCTGGAGCACAGGAGGTTCCATAAAAATATTAGAAAAAACTTTTTCACTGTGAGGGTGACAGAGCCCTGGCACAGGCTGCCCAGAGAGGTTGTGGAGTCTCCTTCTCTGGAGACATTCAAAACTTGTCTTGACGTGTTCCTGTGTGACCTACTGTAGGTGATCCTGCTCTGGCAGGGGGGCCGGACTAGATGTGGTCTCTTCCAACCCCTGACATTCATTGATTCTCTGATTCTGTGGTATTTCCAAAGGCATAAACTCTAGGTTAGTTTTATGCACAGGCAGAGCTGGGATTGAAATAAAAAAATAATTAAACATTAACATGCCTGTCTCCAAATCTCAGTAAAACCACCTAAAGTATCCATGAAACCACAGGTGACAGACTTGCTCACATTATTTATAGACTTGCCTTTGTGTATTCCTAGTTTCTTTCTTTCTTTCTTTCTTTCTTTTTCTTTCTTTCTTTCTTTCTTTCCTTCATTCATTCATTCATTCATTCATTCATCATTCATTCATTCGCATTCTTGAAGTAAAGTTCATTCCAACACTTCAGAGTCACATCTTGACTTCATGAGTGACATGCTTCTAAAAAGTTATTTTAGTGTGGTAAGAATAAAGCGCGTCATCAATCCAAACTCTCGGGTTTTAGCTACATTTATAAGAGGAATCTGGACAAGGTTAATGAACCATAGCACTAAGATGCAGTTTTATAGAGGACAGAAGAACAGACAACTATAGCATTAATATGACTTCAGAGTAAGTTTTTAATCTCAGTTAAAAATGCATCATGAATAGCTTTTCACTAAGTAGATTCTTAAGAGTTTTACAACAGGACATCAGTACCAAAACTTAGGAAGAAATACTTGATTTTCTTAGCTACTGTTTACAAAGCTCTGAGGAGATCGCTCCCCAAATCCCCAAGAGATCAGCAGCAAATGAGCTGAAAAGCACTCTGTGCAGACAATTCCTGGTAGTACGTGGTAGAAAATGAGGCACAGCATACCTAGCCAACTCAGAGAACTTGTTCAGGTCACCTACCTTTTCAACACCACATGAATTCCACACATTTTTCACTTTTGGCAGCAACCATGAAGAGATACATGATTCTCCCTGGCAAGTATCCCACTATTGAACAGATTAACATTTTTTGCTAGCATGTAAGGTTAGAAACCCATCGTTCATCACAAGTCACATAAACACTGTTCCACTACTGAAAAATGTGAACAGAATTACCAATAAGGCTTTTACCACAGCAGCTGTAAACCTCTCAGCCACTCGGCATACAAAGTTACAAATAACTAAAGGAACTAGCTTTTTACGAAGACCAAGCTCAACAGTCTTTAATTCAAATACATTTATAATAAGTAAACATTTCAGAAACAAAATTGAGACACCCACAGACAGTCTTGCTTTACTCTCCATCCTCCTAGAGAAGGAATGGTTATTTCAGATAGCAGTTTGATCAGTACAAAACACTTCCATAAACTAAAAGCTTTTGTCTTAGTTAGGTATTATCTATGTAGTTAAGTACATTCAAGAAGTCCTTTTATCAATTTGGCATTTTCCAAGTACCTGGCAGCTGGTCCTTTAACAGATAACAAATAGTCCCTTTTTGCCTGCAGAATGTTAAATCAGAATCCTTCTCTTCCAGTCCATAATTACACTGAAAATTCTATTTAGCTGACTCTGGTATGAACAACTTCTCTAAAATGAAGGCATTATGAAAGGTTTATTTTCTACTTAGTGATATTACACCTCTTACTTATAGATCTGGGTTGTGCTACTGATCATTTAGGCATTATATATCTATGAAATTTTAGAAGAATAAAATCTGAGTAATTAATGTACACACTATCTGGAAAAAATGTCATGTATGCCTAAGTGAAAAAGAAAAAGTAAAAGGCTTTAATACATTTTAGTATTCTGGGCATATTATTTAACAGACTACAGCCAACCAATGAAGATGAAACACAAATATAAATGCTTCAGTCTTTCTCACTTTCTTTTCTCAAGATGCTTCACTTGTACTTTGAGCTTAAGTAGTAGTTAAATAATTAAGTAGGTAAATCCACTGATACACAACCTAAGCAGAAAATTTATCAGCTGTAACAGATCAAATCGTTTATGCCATTAGTGATACAACAGCTCAGTGCTGTACCACACTGTTACTGTAAAGACAAATTTGTAATCCAGGTACTTGGAACACAACAGTAAAAACTCAAAACATCCCCAAGCTGTGTCCAAGAAATGCTGCACATAACAGCTCTAGATTACATCGGAATTTTTTCATTGCTAGCATTGCAACAGTGGGCAAAAATGCCTCTAAATTTCAAAGTATATGAAAAAGAAGACTGTTACATTTCATGATGACTAAACAAAATAAATGAACAACAAGTAAGTAACCAAGAAGTAAGATTCAAAACTCTGTAACTAGAAATTATTTTAAATAGGAAGGTATGAGTGCAGATTCTTTTGGGTTAGAATAACTTGATTGTTTGCTTGATATCTCAAGTTACCAACTTTTTCTCACCATAATATGAATAAATACAAAAGAGTCCTTACAGAACAGAAATCCCTTGAGCTAGTTAAGAGCAACACAACACTAATATCTTCAGGTGCTTGCAGCTGTATTGTAAAAGCTGGTTCAACAGAGGCAGGAAGGTGAAATTTGATTTGATAAAGCCTCATTGCAGTGGACAAAAATGAAGCTTGCATTTTGTTTGCTGGCAGAAAAAAAGAAGATTCAATTCACAAGAGCGCATAAAACAAAACCAAACATGCAATCTACTGCTTTCCAAACTTTTACTGCAACATAATATTGAAGTGAACAGTAATTGGACATTTATCACTTTTCCCAAAAAGAGAAGATGTAAACAGGCTTATAATTTTACCTGTACGTATATAGCTTCTTAGTTCATTTGAGGGGGGCAAAAAAGGCGGTGGTGTTTCTCAACGATCAAGACACTTAATTTAAATGAGTTTTGATTTGCCAACATTTTTTTAATCCAGCATTAAACAAAATACTGTGCTTCTTGCACTACTTTAACATATGTGAAAAAGTAAAATAATTACCCCTATTTTGGCATTCATGTTTACATTTGTTCAGATCTTTTAGATTTCACAAAGCCACTATCCAGTGTTGCCATGAAATACAGATTGTAGAATCTAGGTAGTATAGGCTACTTCCAATACCAACACTAAGTAGAAAGGAACATGAAGCAGGGCATAACACTACATTTCTGGAACTAGCACAGTTAAGAGTGAAAACCTAGAAAAAGTTACATTTTACAGAAGCTGCAGTTTATAGAAGGAACTAATTATCTGCAGAAGCTGATTTTTGGTTGTATAATATTTTACACTGTGTCATTTTTTGCATCTGCTAATTTAAAGCAGACACACTTGCTGCTTTCTCTGCTTCTTTATTATCTTCTCCCCTCCTCTCCATATCCCCTCCTCTCCATATACCATACACCAAGCATTATGAATATAAGCCCAAATATCCCAGACTATCCAGTGAAGAAAGTTAGTGTAATGCACTGGTGTGAGGCATGAGATTAAAAAAAAGTCTCTCAATCTTCATCAAAGTTCTGTTGTAGAAGAAAATTGGCAGCCAAGTTTTCATTCTTCTCACAAGCAAAATATGCCTGTATCACAAGTCCTTCAGGAAATCCTAATGCCTTTAACTGAAGAAAAGAAACACATTTAGAAAGTGCATTTTGTATATTAAGCTTCTTTGTATGTCTAGTATCCTGAGATGCCACTTAAGCAATTATTGCCTTCTTGAAACAATCACTGCAGCCTTTAGTGAGCAAAGAATAAGAAGGTATCACCTCTGCAGTAAAAAGAATTCTCATTCTAAAAACTGATTTGTGAGACTAATGAAGCACCATAAAACACATCACTTTTCTTTCACTGCCACAGTAAGCCAGAAAAACACACTTGCATCACAGTAATGTCAGGAAGTAATGGCACACTGCATTGCTGCACAAAAAGTACTTCAAACAATGCCTGTTTTAAACTATTAATTATACAGGGCTCTGGGTTTTTAACAGAAGCTGCCTGGAACAAAAGCTCTTAGCCTGTGATCACTAGTATACAACTTGACATATCATGTGAACCATACTTTCAATTATTCCAACAGGACTGTCACTTTTACAGCCATGAGAAGTTGAGAGCAACCTGTTTTTCAGAAGTTAAGGAGCTAACTGATGTCCGGGACACAATGACAAGAGGGGATGAGAATATTAGAGAAGAGCTGATTACTGTGCCAAGGGAAATGGGTTTAGCCTGCACTTAGACACATTCAGCAAACCAATCTTTGTTTTAGTCAAAGGCAAGTACATACAATGACCTGCAGCTTTTTTTAAAACCCCCACAGCATGTAGGGCAGATCAAATCTCTGTAAAAAACTATTATCCTTTATCAACCATTCTTAGATTCAGTTTCATGCTTAAAAACAGCATGAATGTGTCTGCTGTAATACTAAGCCACCTAAATTTTGAGGTGTGCCTTTCACAGAAAGGAGAAGCAGCATACAAGGCTGTCTTGGGTTTTGGAACAGGTTGTAGAGACTATGCTCTGCTACATAAAATGGCTTCAAAAAGGAAATGCAGCAAGCAGACTGGGCAGGAAGATCTGTGAAAAGGTACATGGGCAAACATTTTTATTAAACTAATTTTATTAATTCTCAATTTCTTTAAGATCTTGATAATTGACAACTGTATTAAGAACTGTTTTTTTCTGATGATCCTTATGTAATGTTTTGCTTTGCCAGTTGAAAAAAGACTATCACCGCACGACAAAAGTCTTTGCAATTTCTTCTAGAGAAATCTCAGAGGCGTAGTCATCTAGGCAAATCCATATTTAGTAAGTGTTACACACAGTATTTATGAATGTAAGATACCATCCCAAGTATATTTTTACAGACACGTTTACCTGTATTTTTAGAGAGGTGTAACTAACTAATTTTCATGGATATAACTGGGTTAAGTAACAATTTCAAATCTACTTAACTACGAGAGCTCCTACTACCCTAGTATTTCACAAACAGTGCTCATGTAGACATACTTTTGTACCTGGAAACCCATCACAGCACAATCTAGAAGAGTAACATCTGAGGCTTTTGCAAGAGAAATTACCGGCCGAGCTCCCATTCCTGAGGGAAGCCCGTGCAATCATCAATTATTACACATGACCTGTAATCACTTAAAAATCTCTGCATCTTCTCAGTAACTGAGAGATGCTATAATGCAAGAAAAGATGTGATCTGAAACAAGTATGCACAAGATTCAACATCCTACAGCATCAGGCAAGCAACATATGAAAGAAGAAAGGCTCACCCTTTCTATAGCTTCTTTTTCCTGAGGTGTTACTTGAATGTAGTTCATATGACCATTTCCAGCTTCTGCTACTCCTCCAGTGCTGGCACCATCATCACTGCCACTTAAACCTTGGCGGGACTCTAGAACTGGCTCATTCAGCATATGAATAAAATGTTCCTGGTGCTGGCTTATTTGCTGTGACGCATGGAAAAATAAAAGAAATAAATATCTTTTAATAAAGCATGTTTATTTAAGGCTGCCAACAGGCAAGTAAGAGTATTTATTTTCAGTAATTAAATCATGAAATGAATGTATGGAACATGCAAAGAAAAATTATTAAATCTAATAATTAGAAATGCAGTCCAATACTTTGTTCAACTGTAGTGACTCTTCCCTCTTCCTGATGCCCCTTGCACCTCTTATGTAAGACACTTATTTATAATGTCATAGAAAATATGTTCTGTACAGCAACAGTTACTGAAGTCACTGGTACAATGTTGTAACTGCTATTAATATACTATCCCAGCAAGTGTCAACACATCCCTTTCTTGTAAAGCTAGATCAAAATGAGCAGAGTCATTTTTTTTTAAGATTCACCTGCAGTAGTTGAGGGTTTTCCCGTCCAATCTGCTGTAGCAATGCCGGTAACAGAGAAGGATTTTGCTGAATAATTTGTCTCATCTGCTGGAACTGAGGCTGATTTCGCAAAAACTCAAGTGGATGTCCTGAAAATCAATGAGTTAACACCTTTTTTAAAGAGTTACCAAGATTCTTAATAAAATAAATAACTACATTATAACTGTAAACAGAATCACAGAATCATAGAATGGCCTAGGCTGGAAGGGACCTTAGAGATCATCTAATCCAACCTCCCTGTCATGGGCACGGACACCTCTCAACCAGATCAGGCTGCTCAAGGCTCCGTCCAACCTGGCCTTGAACACCTCCAGGGAGGGGGCAGCCACAACATCTCTGGGCAATTTATTCCAAAGTCTTGCTGCCCTCATGCTGAAGAATTTCTTCCTAAGGTCCAGTCTAAATCTATTCTCCTTCAACTTAAACCCATTTCCCCTTGTCCTATCAGTGGACACTCTTGTAAAAAGTCCCTCCCCAGCTTTCCTGTAGGTTCCCTTCAGGTACTGGAAATAGGGCATGAAAGTGGGTAATACACTCCTCATTTAAGAACAGAAGTGCTTGCATCCTCACACTAAATTCCTCTATCTTTGCACAAGAATTCTTTATGTTAAGGTTAAACAACGCACTTTTTTTTTACCCAGCCTTTGCTTAAGATCCAATAGCCTTCTGTCCTGGATCTCCAGCAGTTCTCTCTTTATGCCTCATTTCTACGTTACCTCATTCAGAGACACCTACCCAGTCTACTGTCATGTCTTTATGACTAAAACAGAGTTCTCTACCTCTTGCAATAGGTCAGTCCTGTCCTTCCCAAGTGAATCTTGCCTTCCCATACACCCTATACTCTTAGGTACTACCTTGAATGCAGCAGCGTCTTAAGGATTGTGAAATATCCCATTCCCCCATTTTCTCTTTACAGATGATGTCAGGTGTGCCAATCGCTACTACCTGTATGTTTAATGCCCTGGCCTCTGTCAAGGCTTACACCTTGAACACCATCTCTGCCACAGCCTCAGGCAGACCTTTCTTACGCTCCTCTCATGTACTTTAAGATGAAGTTCTCTTCAGCAGGCACCATCCAATCTGTCCATGTGCTGCATTACTGAGTGAGGGGTCCTAGGTCATGAATACGCCTCTCAGGTGCTACACCTCCTGGCATTATTCCAGGTTTCTACCTTGATATTTCATCTTCCAAGTGGTAAATGCACTAGTATATTCACAGTCGACGGTGCAGTCAGCCACCGAAGCAGAAAGCCAGAGAAAATATAAACCTCTTCACATGTGATCTTACCTTTAAATCCAGAATACTGAAACAAAGGAACTATGCAAGTTCACAACACTTTTTTTGCAAACTTCATATTTTATTCCAGATACATCCACATATAACAAGCCATTTCTTCCAAACAAGTACAACACTTATAGCTCTTACCCAACTCACTTTGATCAAGTTCACAAGCATGAGGAACTTAAAATTCACTGAAGCAGAGAATGTTTAAGTGCACGTGTTTATCACATCCTTTTAAATACAATCTTTCTTACCTCCTAACGAACTAGTAGTTGTAGGTATAGTTGCTACTGCTGATGCCACTGCTGAAGACTGAGAGGCACCAGTGCTTGCTGCTTGAGGGGGTTCAGCCACAGCCTGATTATCTCCAGGTATACCCTAAAGCCACAGTTCACATAGTTACCTTCAGAATACTAGAAGACACTTGTTTTATTGCATGAAGAAAACGAATGAAGTAAAAAAACATAAAATGCTTTCACTGCAAATACAGAGCAAGATGCTGTGACAGGTATGCATTCACAACTGGAAGAGAATACTGTGAAAACAGTAATTTACTTTTTGACAAGAAAAATATATGGTTTGTACACCAAGGTAGTAAAGCATGAACTGCGTCAGTTTAAAATAAATTTTACTCCATAAACAAATACTTGCTTTGAAACCTGCTCTAAGATATCGGATATGAATGAAAAATTAACTAAATACACTTTTATAATACATTATAGTGTTATGCAAATAAAGTCACATTACAGCAAGAGAATTGCAGTACACAGTGCTAACAGTGATATTAAAGATGCCATACAATCTGGCAAGAAATTAAGAACAGATGTTAAGAACATGGTTCTTCGGACTCTTTCCTTAATGCAAAAGTGAAGAAAATTTCTCTCATCATTGCCTTATAGAGCACTGCTTAAGTACCTTTTCCCATCAAATCAGTGATTTCTGGGACTCTTAACTGTAACACAGGAACTTACAAAATTACTGGCTGATTTAACCTATTCACAGGCATATGCTGTCCCAGTTATCTGTGCCCAGCTCAAAGAGCATAGGCCTGTTAAAACTCTGAGTCTGAAGTTTGCTCTTGAATGGAAGCACTGTGGAAACTAGTCCAACCAAACTGACTTAAGGGATGATTTGTCATCTTGAACGTCACCTTAACCCTTAAATATAAGCTTGAAGTATCACTCCCCAAATAACTGAGACTTGTGTACAACTGCAGTAAGACTAATGAGGTGTATGCATCTTGTTCATACAGTTATCCAACAGAGTAAAGGATGGTATCAACTCACATACAATTAATTTTGAATGCAAACACTGCTTGTACAGAACAAAAGGCCAGTTCTGCCTTACGGTGGATTAAATCTTTGTCTACCGTTCAACTGAGCACTCGAGCATTTTTCAGCTGACATTGTTCTCCACAGGCTAATAATCACAGCAGGCCCAGTCCAAGCAATGTGCACATTTAGTACAGAAAGGTGTCCGTGTCTGAACTAAACAGAACCAATTCCGTTCAGTGATTTTACTTTCCAGCTCATTCTCCTCTGAGAGGCTGCACTTTCTGAAGTTACCAGCACGTTTCTGCAGACAGTGTCTGCTTCTAGAAGTGTTAACACCTGATGTTCACAGTTACGGGATTGGTATGCAAAAAGGCCCTTGCTTACACTTGCTTCTGTAGTGACCAAGGCCACTGCTGGCTCTTGTGTGCCACGCTGAGGGTGCCAGGAAGTAAAAGGGGTCACAAGGAAGTAAAGGTTCCACCTTCAGTAACAGGCAGGACAGGTAACTAATAAGAATATTCCATTCCATATATGTAACATTCAGTATAAAATTGAAGGATCACAGGGGTTAAGGCCTCTCCTTCAATGGCCGGTGTCCAAGCAGGACTCTGTCCAATCTTCTGCCTTTGATCCTGATCCTGAGTTCCTGAATCCAGTTCATCCCCTACAACAATCACCAAGTCCCACTGCCTGACTGCTCCAGGGCCATCCAAAAGTTAAAGCATCTTAAACACACTGTCCAAATTACTCTGAAACACTGACAGGCATGGTGCACTGATCACCCCACTAGAAAGTCTGTTCAGTGTTTGATTATCCTTATGATAAAGAAATGTTTCCTAAAAATTTCCAACCTAAAAGGCTGCAGAGGTCTGGTTGCAGGGCAAAAGATAGCACTCCTTCCTAATTAAGTGTTAGGAAGTTCTTGGGTCAAAAAGAGAACTGAATATAAGGCCCTCCAAAGATGAGTTACCAAGATTCTTAATAAAATAAATAACTACCTTATAACTGTAAACAGAATCCCGAGTCTGGGGCACAGAAAAAGAAACAGTATCTTTTGGATTGAGACCTCCTTCCATGACCACATGATATAGGATTACATCTAGATGCTCTGCCAAGAAGCCATGAAAACCGAACAGCTTATCATCTGAATTATGGACAAGTGGAATATACAGGGCTCATTTAAGGAATGGCTACGTATAGATACTCTTCAGACATTTTCTTTCCAACACTTTACATGTACCTCTGGTATACTGATTCTTTAAACCAGGATCATGGTATACACTTCCAGCTCTCAAAATCTTAATTCTACCCTGCAGATTATATAAAAATTAACACTGATGATGTTTTGGAAGTAGGTTAAGCAGAGAGTTAAAGTGCAGTGTCATCAATGTATGAGACTAAACAGAAGGGTTTTTGATGCAGCAGGATGGTAAGCAATGTATTTAGATCCCAGCAGACCAATAGTTAGAAAGACGATTTTCAGCAATAAAATTCTTCTATAAGGACCAGGGATATAACTCTCCCCCTGTTTGTAGACATTAGCTTACACAACAGGAAAATGACCCAAAAACACCAGGGCAAGTCCACGACAGAATGACTTCAGAAAAACAAAATCGGCCTTTTGGAGTGGCCGAGTCAGAGCCCAAACCTCAATCCAGTAGAGATGGTGTGGAATGACCGGAAGAGAGCCATACACATGAGACGTCCAAAGGATATGGCAGAGCTAAAGCAGTTCTGCCAGGAAGAATGGGCTAAAATCCCCCCTGAACGATGTGCAGCTCTGACCTACGGCTACAGGAAGCGCCTGGTTGAGATTATTGCTGCCAAGGCGGGGTCAACCAGTTATGGATTCCAAGGGTTCACTTACTTTTTCCACTGGTATTTTGAATGTTGAATGAGTGTGTTCAATAAAGATAAGGAGGATCAGAACAGTTTTTGTGTTTTTATTTTAGGTAAATTATATTTGTCAATACTCTTGACTTAGATGACGAGTAGATCACATTTTACGACAAATTAAAACAGAACACCATGAAATTCAAAAGGTTCACATACTTATTCTTTCAACTGTAGATACTAATAGCAGCACACAGCTGATGCTGTCACTAAGATGCAAGACAAAATCATTCCTTGAGCCAGCCATTGGCAGCTTAAATCATCACTGTAATTGGACATATTTTACACATGTACCCATACTATCAACAGAGGATAAAAGCAAAGAAGTGACAAAAGTAGTTGGGGATGATTTCAGCATTTCCTGTAACACACTATGCCTCTAAAAATTCATATTTCAGCCTTCCTCATGCTCTGCTTAGAAATGGTGTTCTTCTGGGAACACGTATTACTTCCACTGATTGGATAAAATTCAAAATAACACGTAAACGAAAGTTAAAATTATTCTTTAGTGACGACAAAACAAAAAATGAAAGAACAAAGTGTAGGTAAAATAAACTGCTCACCATTAAAAGGTATTCCACTGCTCTGTCTGGATTGTTGAAGCTGGCTCTCAGCGCCGCAATCACTTGTTCTCGTTCATAGCCCATTGACATGATCTCAGTCACCATATTCTCATAAGACTGACCTGTCACTAGAAGTAACATGACCAGCATTTCAAAGGAAAAAGGAAAAAAAAAAGCACAAAAAAGTTTTAATGGATACACCTGATTCCTCTGCAAATTTGAGTAATTCAGACTACAGAATAGCTCATATTAAACTTCCTGTGGTTATGCTGCTTTAACTCCAGATATATTCTGGTGGTTTCATTACACATTTGATTGGAACAGTAGAGGGTAATGAACACAATGCAAACTTCTACTGAAAAAAACAGCACTTGTGATACTTCTGAACTCTTAATTGAATAACATTCCCTCTCAATGCTTTCATCTAAGGTCAAGGACATCCTCACAACTAATACTGAATTCCTGATGTAATCAAGAGAAGTGTAAGTTTGAAAATTGAGTCTTCTAGGGAGAGATCTGCCTACCAAACTGTTAGCCATTGAGGTTTTTCCAAATAAAGATTTTACAGTAAGCTATGGCTAGATAGATGGCAAATAGCAATGACCAAGTTACAACTGTATATTGCTGCATGCTGGTGATGGTTATCAAAGTCATTTAATCAACTTAACATGGACCAACTCATGTCAGGCAGAAGACTTGAAATCCTACGTAGGAAAGTCACTCGACCTCAATGAGGGACTGGGAGAACAAGACTTCTCGATTAAACTATATCTGACTAGACATCCACCTCTTACAGCATAAATGGACTAAAACAGTCCCACAACTGCAGCCATCAAGACAAAAGGTACAGACACTGTATATGGAGTAATTTCAGGACAACCGATCACTACACTATCATAGGAAAAATTATTATCTCTTTTCATAATTCATTTTATTTCACTTTCTTAAAATCAGACAGCACATTTAACAATTCAAACTCCACCAACTATTCTACTATGAATTGTAATTGAGCAACACCTTAAAGGTTATCTTGCCATAGGAAAACAAGAAGAAAAAAACCAGCCAAAGGCAGGCATTAAAATACCATCTCCTTCCTTGAATAAAGTCATTCCTAATCTCAGTGGAATCCTACTACCAACTCTGTAACACTAGCAAGTAATTAACAGTCATTAAAAAGTAGAGGAAACAAACAGTGCTGCAGCTACTCCGTCAAGACAAGCAAGACACAATTAAGAGAAGCAAAGAAAATATCAAGTTCTATTCCCTTAGGCAGAAGGTATTTAACTCAAGCCAATATTAACACAACCACATTGCTTGATTTTTAAAGAATGCTTCTACATAACCAGTGGATGTGTGACTGAGGGCAATATACTCAAATAATAAAACAGCCCCAACCCAAGGATACCTGTGCATTATCCATAAAGATATTTAATGGATTTACAACCATTGACTAGTTTGAGTATTTAATGTTTAGACTTCAAAATCAGTATCAGTCTGAGTCTAAGGAATGGTAAGTTCCATGTCTTCACATCTACCTTCATTTTTTTCAAAACCAGAAAATATCACCTAAATATCACCTAAGATTTGCTCCAAAGATGCGTAATTCTGTGTGTATCTTCACAAAAGCAAAAAAGCCAGCCTAGCAATTGTTCCAACACATTAGTTTTGCTAAACTTACTTCTCAAGTTGTTTCTTATACAGCAGTAGCTTACTCTTTACTACTGATGACAAACTAATCACAACAACCAGCCGGCAGAGCACCTTTTGATCTAATTAGTTACTACTTAAACATTTCTGTAGTGCTCTTTCAGTATAAGCTAGGTAAAGACTACAACAGTATAAGAGATCTGGTACAGATTTTAAAAAAAAAAATTTTAAAAAAAATCCAAGAACAGTTGACTTGCTCTGCACTGCTACATAAGCCATAATTGAAGGCCAAAGAAGGAAACAGAATTACTGTGAATGCAGGCACATGTACTCCATATACAGTCTATTTACACAAGTTGTGCAAAAGTAAGACCAATAGTAATTCAGAAATTACACAGCAGCAATGTCATGATACGGACTCAGGCCTATCTGTATGAAGTGCTACTGGGAATGTTCATGAAATCAATGCTGAACTGATTCTGCTTTTTGATTTTGTCTTCCAAATAACATTTCAAAGCTGGATTAACTTTCAAATCCAGTTCAACTCACTCCCCACAACAATTCTTGTCCATGCCCTAAAGAAAGCTTAGGTCGCTCCAGTGAAAAATAAGGTTCCACAGGAACTGCAAGATACGCAGATTTTCATGTAGCATGCAAAGCTACATCAGTTTTCAGTCAGCATATCTAACTGGGGGGGAAAAAAAGGCAATTCAGTAGAAACTAATCCCTGTTTTTAAAGTCAGTTATCTTCTGACAATGTAACTGAGAAGCCACACTACAAATTTGCCTAGGATCCTACTTAGGACGTAAAAACAACGCAGGAATTTGCGCAAGAAAATTCCTTTTAAGGCAGTTTCTAAAGAAAAAGAATAATAGAATTCAGGCCTATTGCCTTTGAAAAATTTCTGGCATATAACCTTTGCAGTATGCTTACCCAGAAAATTACACTCAACGCCTGCTACTTCCAAACTTTTAGGGACAAGTGGGTTTACTTTATCAGATCCGATCAAAGACAGCGCGGTGAAGCTCTCCTACTACATCGAAAAGAGATTAATTTTTTTTCAATTCCATAAATAACTGAGACAAGACCACCAGTTTAAACAAACTTGTTGGCCCTTGTTGATAACAGGAGCATTTCAGAAGAACACATCTCAGACATTAAGGTATAATGAACGGTTAACGAAGCCTCCAGCACCTTTGGCAACAGCAGTTGCTTTAAATCTAACGGAACTCGGACTGGTTGTCTCCTGCAGTATCTATCAGGCATTTCAGCTCACACATTTCTTCAGACTAAAATAGTATGTTATATTATAAGCTGCAATTAGATGGACTAAACCCGATGGCTACCACTAGTAGATGTAAAACATTAATCCTGCACCTAGATCCCCCTGGGCTGCCTCCAATACATCCACACAGCCCTACATAGAAATGTAAGTGAAATTCTCTAGTTTAACTTTTTGTACCAAGTTGCAGCTCAACATTTACAGAGATACAGCAAAATAAAAACCCCACCTCCCCCTTACTTGCCTTAATTTGCTACACTGTAAAAAACAAACAAAGAAACAAAAAGAAAGTTCCCTCAAGAAAATTTAAGTAGGAGTAAGGACTTGTGGCTTTGCCTCGTATTTTCCTAACTACCAAAATGAGCATAAAGGCAGGACAGAACTTCCTACTGTTTCCACCCTGTTAATTCCACTGAGAAATAAAGACACTTAAACTGTCAGAAGAATTGACTGTAACTATATGGAGGCATTCATTCCTCACACCAGACAGCAGCAGATTTAGTAAATTCACCTAATTAAATGTGTCAAAAGGCATATGTGTCAGAGGTTGAACAAGTGACTAATAAAGGCAGCCATCTTATCAGACTTGTATACTTGGAAGCAAAGGCAAAAACCATAGACATATTACATCCATCTTCTATTTAAGTCACTTCAAACTGAATAGTTAGAAATTAATGTAAGTGAGGATAAAAACAGGAATAATAAGGATTTCCCTTATTACACAATTAAAATGTATGAAGTGAAATATTCTTCAGTAAAGAAGTTCTTCATGCTGGTTCTAAGATACCAACTTCAGGTCTTAGAGGAGAGTACTTTGATTATGACAGAGAAGAGAATGTCAACATCTGCTAATCCTTCATTTGTTTCTGCTGCACCAAAATAACGTCTACGTTAAAAAAACACTCCACTTACCAAGTGCACTTATAGCATCCTCAAAAAGATTTGATCGAGATGTATCACCTGTTGTACTGTAAGATGAAGACAAGTGCAATGGTAATTACAAAACTTTGGAAAACTTCCTGTTTTTCAAAAAAGCAGCAGCATCTGTAACTCTTAACAGCCCCTTTTGCTTCTCAAAAACAAACAAAGCTTTCCAAAGATCTCTATTGGTCTTACAGTGAGACCAGATTTTACAAACTTACAATGCTACCATTTTTAACACAAGGCCAATCTTCCCCCTTACCCCCCAGTAGTTTGGCTCTTGCCCATCTGTTAAGGGATTAGCCATCTGCTTGCTTGAATGCTTTCAAGGGTGGGAGAACAAGGCAGATTTTCAAAAGCACACAGCAGTCTCACTGCTTCCCCATAGACACCAGTTTGACCTCAATAAGGACCCAAGGAGGTCAGTGACAAGCACTTATTAAAATCTCAGTATTCCACTTTCCCAGGAATATAAACCACTAACATTTGCAAAAATCTCAAGTTACCAAAGATGTTAAATTACAGGATTAAGGGCTCACCTCCGTGAACATCAAAGTACACAGAGGCACAACATCAGGCAGAAGAACCTCAGCTAACTCAGTCAGAGCCACGGGTACCTCTCTCCTGGTTCCTCCCAGGTCTCTGTACAGATTGAGGGCATTAATTCCTACAGCATGGTGCGACTCACCGCAGGGTGCCAGGAAAGTGTTTAGGTATTGTGCAAGACTTACTATGGGATATCTAGGGGAAGAACCAAAGGCAGGGAAAGGGAAGAACCAAGGCACCCTGCAGACGAAAACCATGGGTAAGGAGAGCAAAAAGAGGAGAAAAAGGGCCAGCCACATGTAAACAGCACTTGTCTGGCCATGGCCTGCACCTGATCACCAGTCCAACTTGCCTTCTAATTACACTCCAGTTTTAAATAATTTTCACGCTGGGGAGTCTCTCTATTCTACATGCATGTGTGTGCACCAGAGTCTAAGAGGCCACAGCAGGCCAGGGTACCATGAGTAACTGGGATCCATGCAACCGTGGAGCCAGCAACTGCAGAGACCAGACACTGTGGAAGTCTCAGAGCCATTAAATGGACAAGGGGCGACAGAGAGACACGTGACTGGGATGTCAGCAACTGAAGAGCAGACTAGAGCACAGGCATATTTGGTGTGGATGCATACACTAGTGTATGTATTCACCAGGAAGATCAAGCTTCACCACAGTGAGTACGGTAAGATGCTTGAGAGCTGGGTATTGAATGGTTCTAAGTCAGAAACAGCTACTGGGTCACCAAGAGGCGGTGCTGGCAAGACTGTAACATCTGACATTGCTAGGTTACCTGGCATTGCTATGCTTAATGGTTGGGTTCGATCTTGAAGGCCTTTTCCAATCTAAAGGGAATTCTATGACACTATGATCTAGATGTCAGCTACTGCTAAGTTCATAGGTCTCAACCAGCTAGCGAGGAGATCTTTTCATGTGTCCATGAATTAGACAGCTGGATGACCAGGGGATCTAGGGGTTAGCTACCAGGTTCATGGCATGTCTACAGCCTGGAAGGATCCTCTATGCATGGGTGTGTTCACATGCATGCAAAGGGAATCCAAGGATCAGCAAGCAGAGTAGGGTTGCAGGGCTCAGTCAGTCACATGCACAAGAACCAAAAAGGTGGGAGACTGGGAGATTGGGGGGCCAGTTATTGGAATAGACTGTCTAAGGCCAGCTACTGGAGAAATTTGTACTGCTCAGCTGCATGTTCATACGTACGCATTTTGCACTAGTGGGCTTTGCCCTTAGTGGCCAGAAGGGAACAGGATGCAACTGCTGGTGTTGTATGGTTGCTCGAGTGCTGTTTTTTTCCTGCTGTAATTGACCTATGCAGCCAGTCATATACACAGGTACATGCTTTGTGTGTATGTACTGGGAACACAGGTTCAGTCTTGATACTTGAAAGACCTGGGGACATGGAGTTGCAGCAGCCTCGCATCTATTGGGCTACCAAAGCCAGCAACTCCTAACAGCAAGTGAAAGATCATGAGTTTAATGTGAATCAAGTTTCAGAAGATGCCACTGAAAAATCTAACACGGCATTTTACAGAGATGCATTTTTCAGTGTAAGAAACATTGTTCTAACAAGAGTGCTTCACTAGTATCTATCATTAGTAAGACAAAACTTTCATCTAGGTGAAACAGGACACCAGCTTGTCTGGCCATAGCTCAAACCTTCACCAGCCTTAGTAATTTAACTTCTAAAGCAAATCAGAAACAAGTAGTACTCACTGAAATCAGGGCAGGTGGTCATTACAATGTACTTATTAAACTACTCTCTTGCTTCCTGTTAATAAGCATGTAAACTGAGGCTCCCTTTCTGTAGTTTTACAACACTACAATCTCTACGTGGAAAAGGTGTAAAGCACTACTTCAGTTTCAAAGTTCTAATCTAATCTTTGAATCTCCTGGACATACTGAGCAGAAAAAAAAATCGTCCATTAATATTAAAAAAAAGTGTAAGCTATTTGACTGATAAATGAAGTTTCATTTGTATTCCATTTTAAGATGTCTATTTCCCAGAACTGCAAAATTGAATGATTAGATTATTTAGTGCAAGAAATCCGTGATGAGATTTTCAAGATATTAGCCAATTTCAAGTTTTGTTTCCTGATCATCAAATCAATATTTGATGGTGTTTGTACCAGTATTCACATAACACACAAATAACTGAAAAATAGTGTATGAAAAATGAAGACTGATGCTATGCAGCAAGGGCCATTAAATTACACTTAACACTTTAATCCTGTGCAATAATTAACAAGCTTCAAGTGAGCAAAAAAAGCCACAGCATACAAGAGGGATGAAATGGCTAACTTCCATTTGTTTTTCTTATATCAAAGTATTTGATTTGATTTTTTTAAGAGAACTGATGTTAAAAGCTATCCCAATTCTGAGAACTATCTGCAGATGGGCCAAGGAGCATTCAGAACAAATAAGCTTGCAGCTTATGATTATGAGCAATTCTATATCCTGTATTTTGGAAGAAAAAGCTCTTTCCAGTAATTAAGAGACTTTCACAGCAATAAAGAACTTATGGTTCAAATCTAACCAACATGACTCAAAATACAATGACAGATCTAGGAAAAAAACAGGACACATCCCTCTGAAGTCTTTAAGAGCTCTGTGAACAGTAGATGAGTATGCTCAGCAGGTGAATATCCTCAGTCTGAAAAGAAACTTATGCCACAGTCACTCTGAAACGCCAGCAGGAGCAAGAGTCCTGTGTCATTTAATAACTGTTCACTCCATAGGTTTAGTCAGTCCCGAGACCCCACTTCCCACAGGAGGTGTAAGCCTGGAGGGGCACTTCTTACCAACAATAATGTTACACTTGAGCCAGCAACTGAAGGTAGAGAAAAAATATGCAGAAGAGAGAGAAAATGATTGGACTGACATTGTAATGGAAAATTCAACTTGAAATCAAAACTAGAAGCAATAGAAATGGACAGGGAAGCCTTTTTTGGAGGTTCATTCATACCTGTCAGTTGATGATGGGCTGACAGCAGCTGGTGTCTCAGGTGGTTTTTCTGCTGGTTTCTCTTCTTTAGGAGCACTCACAGGTGCAGATTCACAAGCATCTGGTGCTGGTGGTGGAGGGACAGGAGCTTGCACAGGGGCAGGAGCAGGGACCGGTGCAGTGACTGGTGTGGGAACTGCAGTTGTGGAGCTAATAGCAGTAACAGCATTTGACTGCTGAGCTGCTCCAGCGGCTGCTTTGGGCTATAGGAAGACAAGAGAATTCAGACGCAGCACAAAGCTTCTAAACCCATGCTTTCTACAGTCAAAACATCGATTAAGTTCTGTTAAGACAGATTATGTTTGACATTGCTGACTGAACATCAAGCATAATATTAAAACATTGCAAGACATTAAACCTATAATGCCTCCTCCTGTGTTTAGAAAGGCAACTGACAGTGTCACTAAAGTACTTTTAGACAAACACCTAAGCAGCTACACTACTGGGTGTACAAAGAGAAATGCAGTGGTAAGATCTAAGTATTTATAGATTGCAATACCGTAAACAAGAAAGTTATGTGATGTTTTACAAAAGTGTGGTTTTCAGAAGAAACTAAAACAGTTGTCAAAAGACATTTGTTAAGTGTAACAAGCATAAGGTTTTCTCACCACTCAAATTTGTAAAAAGTGATAAAGACAGGAATCAAGTTTCATTATGAATGCTATTTGCTTGAAAATTAAATGCTAAAATTTTAAACTTAACCTGCAACAAGTTTTACTTATGCACTTTTTACATTCAAAGCACTACGAAAATAACATTTCACATGTTTAAGTTCTGTAATGAGCACCAAAAATGCAGCAGAGTCAAGGACTACCAAATTTACAGCAATAAACTTACTGTAATTTAATATTCTCATCTTTGTTGGAAACTAGAATTTTGCTTGGACGCACTATTAACCCTATTATATAGAAATTACATTTTTCAAAGCACATGTAGCTTCCAGCTAAGGTACGAAATTCCATTTCTGAAACCTGCACTAGTGTGGTCCCACACCTATGAATAATCTTAAGGATTGACAAGGCTGACCCCCATCTCTGCCTTACCAAGAGAAATAGTTGAACTCCAACAAAACACAACTATTTATTCAAGGTGAATCACTTTCACAAAATGTTTGCTTAAACTAGGAAATACCTATTTTCTCCTTTTGTCTGAAAGGAAAGGAGAAGTTGAGAATGAATAGCTTCCAAAGTGAAGGCCATAATAAAGAATATTTTAAGAAGCATTCAAAAAAAAACCATTGGAATACATCTCAGTATCAAAGTTAGTGGTTGCATGTATGTGACAGGGCATATCCAGGAAAGTATCAAAGAAAGGGAAACTGAGATTAAAGACTTAGCAAAAAGATTGCAGCACTGAAGAAATGTCCAACTCTGAAACATGTCCCTTAGTGTAAGAAGTAACCGCATTTAGCAGTTCTTCATCGACATATGTGCTTCTTCTGTTATAAACAAAATGAAAGCTGTAGTCTGAAATCCTGGCTCACTTGCTTTCTTGTACTGATAAATGCCTCTTGTCCAGGCAAACCACAGATGAGACCACTGTTTGTTCAGGAACACTGCAGTAATGGCTATGTTCGAACAGACACTCTAATAAGAAAATACCAGAGAGCAGTGAAAGACAACTGAATATAGGTTTTCTTTGTCAGAAGAAAGACCCCTAACTCCAAAATTAACTTCATACCGCAAGACAGAGATTAAGAGTTTTATTCAGATCTTAGTGGTCTGGAATGCACAGAAAACCAGCGGCTTCGTTCCCAGAAGCAATTTAGTGACTGGTTAAGAGAGATACTTCAAATATATGTCCAACTGATTCCCTTTAATTCTAGTTGCAGTCATTCAAAACTCACAGGTTTGTTGATTGACATATCCATCCTTTCTCTACTGGTTTAAGCAGCTGAGCTTGACAAAAGAAAGAGCCATGCGTTTTGAAAAGCAACATGGCAAGACTGCAAGAGTTCTGCACAGAGGATTTAGTAACAAACTATCTAGGTTCCCTTCTGTTTGTTTTTTTTTTGATTCTTCCTCTTAATAGTATGACTGGAAAAATAACAAAGAAACACAAGAAAGACGAAACAGTAAATTCAGCCACTTGCATTTTTTTTCTTTGATCTAAACTAGGACTGTGAAGTAATATTTCATCCATATTCATACAAGCATTTATTTTTCCCATTGACCAAAACTTTCCCATAACCGAAGTGCACTGGTTGTAAAGCAGATATATACAATCATTTATCCCAGTGAAAAAAAAAAAGAAAGAGTGAAATTAATGTAATTTCCTTTTCAAAAAATAAGGTCTACTCACTTTTGTCACCATAACCACCACAAAGTTTTTCTCATCGATTTTGTATTCTTTAAGAGCAGTATCATCGTTAAGGATTTTACCTGGTAAATTCAAAAGACACGAATTATTATTTCACAGATCATTAGATAATTTGGGAATTTCTTCATAAAACACAGTCCAAAAATACCCCCTAAAACACATTTTATGCAGATTTATAAACATCAATAACCCGACTAAAATTGGTTTTGGCTATTAAGCTTTGGCAGTAGAGCTACAAGTAATTTTCTTCCTATGATGTCCACAGTACTAATTAGATGGAAGGCTGTTGCCATAAGTGTTGAAGATGCTTCAAATAATTTAAAACAGAAGCGTTAAATTTAGAGAAAGATTTATTGGACCTTTAGCGCAAATACAAGTAATGTAGAGGAAAGGCTTCAGCACACAATAAGCTTAACAGACACTTACACTTGCTTACAGACTGTAGACACTAAAAAATTTCTTCCTGCTCATCTGTTGCCTTTCACATGTAGTAGAGCACTCAACACAAGAAGGACATGGACCTGCTGCAGCAGGTCCAGGGGGGGACCGCAAAAATGATCAAAGGGCTGAGAGAGTTGGAGTTGTCAAGTGTGAAGAAGAGAAGTCTCTGTAGAGACCTTATAGTGGCCTGCCAGTACCTGAAGGGGGCCTACAGGAAAGCTGGGGAAGGACTGACTGTTCACAAGGGTGTGTAGTGACAGGACAAGGGGCACTGGTTTTAAACTAGAGCAGAGCAGATTTAGATTAGACACTAGGAAGATGTTTTTTACTATGAGGGTGGTGAGACACTGGCACAGGTTGCCCAGAGAGGTGGTGAGGGATCCATCCCTGGAGACATTCGAAGTCAGGCTTGAAGAGGCTCTCTGTCCCTGCTCACTGCAGGGGGGTTGGACTAGATGACCTTTAAAAGTCCCTTCCAACCCAACACATTCTATGATTCTATGATCAACAGTTCCCTGACACAGACTAAGTACATCTGCATTAGATAAGTTTATGACCTCACAATTTTAATAGTTTGTACTTAAAAGAGGGCAAAAGCATTGGAAAAAGCCAGAACCCTTCCATATCCTGCTACCTTGACAGAAGGATGAAAAAAAGAAACCTAAGACAAAAGCAGAAACGTCTGTTATATCACCACTGTTGATGCTTTGTAAGCAGTGGTGGTACTGTAGCAAAGTAAATTTACCTCACATCTACAACTCAGAAGCACATTAAACCACACGTCCTTTTTTTCTTCCCCCAGGATAAGCTTATTTGGAGGACGTAGCACAAATCAGAAAATTAAGGCTGTATTCCACTGAGTTTTACAGCGCATACTTCTACACAATTTTCAGGAAGTATTTTACAATTTTAGTTGATTAATTTTCTGAAGATATGCCAAGGACCACTTTCCTATTTTAAGAGAAATACTTAACCAAAATATTTAACCATAACTAGCAGGACACATCCTTATCCTGATGATCGCAAGGGAATCAAGCAAGGGATATGACTTATGGTACTTGGAACACAACCAAGGTAGAAACATTCTACTCCCTACCGATTCCATCAGTCTTACAGGTAAAATCTGAAGAATATATTACAAGTACTGCAGTAATACCTGTAGCAGATGGTGTAGTATCTGACTCAGAACCTGCATAGGTTCACCTACAATTTTCTGGTTCTCCTTCCTTTCAGGAAGGAGTTCGCACAATGTATATATGCAGACATTCTATCTTCCCAGGACGGACCACTCTCAGGGTTTCTGGACTTTAACACAGGTGACAACAAAAGAGATCTACCTCACTGCTGATTAGCATATTTTTTTAAAAAAACAAAATTGCAAGCATTTTTAATAGTAAACAGTATACTTCAAATCATGTTCATTTGGGATATCACTTTGCTTCACCTAACTACGAAAATTTTAAAGCTCATTTTAATCAAAAATACACTCTGCTGTATTTCTGTTGTATTTCTTGACCAAAGAAAAAAAGTATAATCGGTCTTTGGATGGTCTTCTATCCTAAATCATACTTCCTACACTTCCTACTGTGAAGATTACACAATGCTACAAATAAATTCCGTCTTCTGAAAATACCCAGATCACATCACACGACCTCACACAACCCTTTATCTTTTTAATCATAGAAACATTGTATTAAGAGTTTCATGTAATTATATGTATTGCGTAAGGCCTTCTGCCTTGCTCATATTTCATTACACATGCAACATTTAACTTCACGTTCTTGACATGTATTCCATTCACTGAAACGCAAGGAATGTAAAACTTGCTAAGAAACATAGAAACATGGAGAGACTCCCAACCTCTCTTCCACTACATTCTTTTATCATGATCAGCGGCTTTAGCTTATTAGAAATGGAAAACCAATATTCTTTATAAAGCAGTACATTCAAGAAATAAAAAGACCACTAAAGCTTCTTTCATGTATGGTTTGAGAAGAAAAAGGGGGGAAGAAGGGGATATTGAAGTGAGATAAGAAGACTGGATCTGTGAATTAGCACCAGAATGAAGTAGCCAGGAAGAAAATCGTAAAAAAATATTTTTGAAAAAATCAAACTATGCTAGCTCAAATGAAGTAACTTCATGTCTTTATCTGATATTAGCCTACTTTTTGTCAGCACATCATATGTGTTTCTAATGACAGAGTTTAAATGTATTGAAAGTGCCTTCCTATAGCAAGAATTTGGTAGTAGATTTCTTTTGTTAATACAAAAGAAATGACTGATTTTTAATTCTCCGAGGTATGTATAGGAATACTTCAGCTATATGTGGCATATATTGAACAAAAGACAGGAGTTAACCAAGAACATGAGATGTTATCTGCTTAAATCCTGACTTCTTGTAACAGACACGTATATTAAAAAATGAAAAATTCTGCGTCAAAATTAAAAGTTCCCTTTGACAACAAGGTTTGTTGTTGGTTTTTGTGTTTGGGGCTTTTTTTAACTGTTTATATTTCAGCACTTACAATATTTAAAAAACTTAACATATACATTAAAGATAAAAAAAAAATACAAAAAGTAAGGTAGATTCAGATACAGTATCTTCAGAATAACCATTACCTGCATAAATTAGCTTTTGGCCAGCTACTGGAAAGGCATCTTTCCCCCTTTCTGATTCAATCTTCTCTTTCAGCGCTTTCACCTAAAGCACAGAAACAGTCTTAATAATGCAAAAAAGTAGTTTCACAATACAAACCTAAATAAGTACTCTGTTCTACGTTTTTTTGAGTTGTATCTTGATTATGTTAAGTACATCAGTCTTCCAAGGACATCACTGTAACCACTTGCAGAGCAACATGTTCCCTTTCCAAATGATCTCTCATGCTTAATCAAATTATGTAAGTAATTTCTACATGAGAAATTCTTAAGTGCACAACACAGTGAAAAACTAAGAAATTTGGGGAAAAAATGCTTTTATCTACTGATCCATTTCCCCATTCTGTTCTTTCTCTGAATGCTGGAGGTACTACACTCAGCTGACAGCTTTCTTCATCATAATGACTCTTCAGGGAATGTCTGATTTTTTTAGTAAGGTCACCATGACATTCGATTTAACTCACTGGAATGACCTGAAGCCTTGATATGCAACGACCTGTGCAAACCGTCCAGTTGTTCATGTGGTTTTCAACTCTTTCACACAATCTTTTGAGGTTTCCATAGCAATTCTAAGCTTACACATTAAAGTGTTTTCCCTATTTACTTACTTACATAGACCACTGATATACAGTCCACACTTTTAGAGCACCACATAAGAGTAGTTTAAATGACACTGTGTTAGTTGTCATACATCAGAATGCCCATATTCTTCAGAAAGACTGCATAATGATATCCTGAGGAGATAAAAGGATGTTCTTGTAGAAACATTTCTGTACTGATACAACTGATATGTTTTAAGACAAACTGTCTGCGTATAAACATTCATTCTTGCTTCCTGACACACTTCTAATATACATAGAACAAAAACAACCAATCTGTTACAAAATTATTACTACAAACTTACTCCATCTTCTAAAGCTTTTCTTTTCTGAATATTCATAAGCTTTTTTCACGAAACATTGCAACTGAGATGGACACACCTAGCTATTTAACCAGACAAGCACATGAAAATGTGTTTATCTTGATGGCTCTATCAATCTGGATGCCACAAGTAGCTGTAGTACTACCACTTTTTGTTATTTTTAAAGCTGTAGCTCACTATTAGTATTTCTTGAGTAGTAAATACACTGAAACAGTATTTTCACGTGCTAAATGGCCAGTATTTACTGAGAAGTCACGCTTTGTGATTCTCAAGATAATTAAAAACTGTCATCCACTTCACATGCCAGTTATGCTTTCTGTTTTCACTTTATTTTTCAGTTAATAATGTCTTAGACCTTTGTGTTGCCCTTCCCCTTTTTCTTCATTGGTCCTCTCGCTGCTTCGCTCTCTTAGATTTTATTTGTGTTTCTTTATCAATATCTTTACCAGGCTAATCTTTTGAGCTTATATATTTAGTCCAAAAGCTATGAACCAAACTGCATCTTTTCAGGAGTACACACAAAAAGAAGTGTTTGTTTTACCAGGATTCATGTTCCAGCATAGGAAGCCTGCAGAATCAAACCTCTTCTCTAAGCTTAGACATGATGTAAGTGGTTAAATCATCAGCCTCACAAGGATATAGAATAGTGTAAGACTTTCCTTTACGGCACTACTTCCTCAGCAGACGGAGGAAGAATTCTCCTGGTATTCTTACTATATACGCCATTCCACCACTTGCCAAAGTTTTACAGTCAATTTCCAGTCAGCCAGTTGCTTTTCCACAGCAGAACTGACAGCAGCTCACTGCCATCTCTGCGTCTTCAGGTAGGGTTAAACCATTACTCATTTTAATAATAATTTGATGATAGCATCATGCTCTTACTTTACAAAGGTCTGCTCTATTCTCGGATTTACGTTTAAAGAGTATCTCCTTGAAAATTAAAAATAGAATTTGCGAATTCCTCCCCAATTATTATTTATTGATGGCTAGAATTCACTCACCTTACAAGTAAACAGTCTCCTAAGCCATCAAGCAGTTTTTCCTGAACTTTAAAACATTAGATACTTCAGGAAATTCCAGTGAAGTGTCCTTCACTCAATAGGACAAATCCCCTGAAACATGTTAAAAAGCCTGTTCAAGTGTCTACTTTTTAACACATTGCTTACCTATTCTAACACCTCTCTCAGCAAACTATTTCAATGTCCTACATCTCTTATCATAAAAATAAAGTCCTCCTTATATCAAGTCTAAATCAACCTTCTTTTAGCTTAAAACCATTAGCCCTTGTCCTACTGCAATAAGCCCTAGTAAAAAGTCTGTCCCTCCCCTTCGTTCCTGTAGGCCTTGCGTACTGGAAGGTTGAGGAAGCTGGCAGAGGAGCTTGCCAAGCCGCTCTCCATCATCTACCAGAACTCCAGGTTAACAAGGGAGGTCCCAGACAGCTGGAGGCTTGCAAGTGTGATGCCCAACTACAAGAAGGAGCAGAAGGAAGATACGGAGAACTACAGGCCTGTCAGCCTGACCATGGTACCAGGGAAGATGATGGAGCAGTTCATCTTGAGTGAGCTCACACAGCACACAGACAACCAGCCAGCACGGTTTCATAAAAGACAGGTCCTGCTTGACTAACCTGTTCTTCTTCTATGCCCAGGTGCCTCACCTAGTGGATGTTGTTTACTCAGATTTTATTAAGTCCTTTGACACCGTTTCCAACAGCATTGTCCTGGAGAAACTGGCTGCTCATGGCTTGGATAGGTATACCCATTGCTGAGTCAAAAACTGACTGATCACCAAGCCCACAGTGGTGATGAATGGAAATCAAATCCAGTTGGCAGCTGGTCACAAGTGGCACCCCTCAGGGCTCAGTTTGGGGGCTAATCTTATTTAATAGCTTTATAAATGATCTGGACAACGGGATTGACATGCACCCTCAGTAAGTTTGCAGATGACCCCAAGTTAGGTGGGTGTGTTGATCTGCCTGAGGGTAGGAAGGCTCTGTGGAGGGATCTGGACAAGCTGAACTCATGGGCTGAGATCAATTGTACGAGGTTTAACAAGGCTAAATACTAGGTCCTGTACTTGGATCACAACAACCTCAGGCAACGCTACAGGTAGGGGGAAGAGTGGCTGGAAAGCTGCCCAGAAGAAAAGGATCTGGTGGCACTAGTAGAGAGTCAGGTAAACATGAACCAGCGGTGTGCCCAGGTGGCCAAGAAGGCTAACAGCATCCTGGCCTGTGTCAGAAGTAGTGTGGGCAGCAGGAGCAGGAAAGTGATCATGCCCATGTGCAGCACTGGTGAGACCACAGCTTGAGTACTGTGTTCAGTTTTAGGTACCACACTACAAGAAAAACACTGAGGTGCTAAAGTGGGACCAGATAAGGACAATGAAGCTGGTGAAGCATCTAGAGCACAAGTCTTATGGGGAGTCACTGAGGGAACTAGGATTTAGTCTAGAAAAGAGGAGGCTTAGGGAGGACCTTATCTCTACACCTACTTGAAAGGAGGTTGTAGTGAGGTGGGAGTTGGTGTCTGCTCCCAGTTTAGATGCGATAGGATGAGAGGAGTTGGGCTTAAGAGGTTGCACAAGGGGAGGTTTAGATCAGATATTTGGACAAAAAAATTTCATTGGAAGTGTTATGAAGCACTTTAACAGGCTGCCCAAAGAAGTGGTGGAGCTACCATCCCTGGAGGCATTCAAAAAAATATGTAGAGTCAAAAAAACATGTAGAGATGGCACTTTCGGGACATAGTTTAGTGGTCACAATTGTGTTCGATTGATTGGTGGACTGATGATCTCAGAGGTCCTTTCCAATCTTAATAATTCTAAAGCTGCTATAACGTTTCCTTGAAGCCTTGCCTTCTTGTCTGAACAGCCCCAACTCTCTCAGTCTGTCCTCACAGGGATGGTGCTCCACCCCCAATCATCTTCATGGCCCTCCTCTGGACACGCTCAAGCAGGTTCATGTCCTTTTTATGTCGGAGGGCCTCAGAGCTGGACACAGTACTGCAGGTAGCATCTAACAAGAACAGAGTAGAGGGGAAGAATCATTTCCCTTGACCTGCTGGCCACTCTTCTCCTAATGCAGCGCAGGACGCAATGGGCTTTCTGAGCTGCCAGTGCACACTGCTGGCTCATGTCCAGCTTTTCATCCACAGTGCCCCCAAGTTCTTCTCCATAGGGCTTCTCTCAATCCTCTCATCGCCCAGCCTGTATTTGTGCTTGGGATTGCCCCAACGCACGTGCAGGATCTTGCACTTGGCTTTGTTGAACTTCATGAGGTTTGGAAGGGCTTTCCTCTCAAACCAGTCGAGGTCCCTTTGGATGACATCCTTTTGCTCCTGCACAGTGACTGCACGACATAGCTTGGCGGAATACACAAATCTGCTGAAGCTGCACTCAATCCCACCATCTAGATCATTGACGAAGATATTAAACAGCACTACTGAGAGCATGGACCCCTGGGGGACACTACTGATCTCCATCTGGAAATTAAGCCGTTCACCACTACTCTCTGCAACCATCTATTCAATTCCTTATTCAACAAACAGTCCACCCGTATCTTCAATTTAGAGAGAAGGATACTGTGGGGAGCCATGTCAAAGGCCTCCATGTCAGAAGTCCAGATAGATGACAGATACAGCTCTTCTCTCGCTCACTGATGTAGTCACTCCATCACAGAGGACCACTAAGTTGGTCAGGCATGACTTGCCCTTGGCAAAGCCACGCTGGTTGTCTCGAGTCACTTTCCCAAACTCCATAGGCTTTAGCAGAGCTTCCATGAGGACCTGTTCCACAGTATTTACAGACATCAAAGTGAGGCTCGGTAGTCCCCAGGATCCTTCTTTCTACCCATTTTAAAAAAGGGTGCAATGTTTCCCTTTTCCCAGTCACCAGGAACTTTACCTGACTGCCAAGACTTTTCAAATATCATGGAGAGTGGCTTGGCAACTACAGCAGCAAATTACCTCAGGACTCCAGGATGCATCTCATCATGTTCCATAAACTTATAAACGTGTAGGTTCCTCAGACAGTCACAAACCTGATCTCCTCTTTCAGTGGGAGGGACTTAGTTTACCCAGTCTCCATATTGTAGGGCATCTCTATCCACTTTAGAG